ACTATTAAGTTCTTATATGAAAGATATTAGAAACAGTTAACAACTTTGTTCATTGGCAGTCACTCGTTCTTGCCTGAAAGATGCTCGGCTTTACTTTCCTCAGCCTATGAAAAAGGCTTACCCTTGAAAGACACAAGTCAACTGGCATTCCAGATAATTAATTCAGTCCCCTATTTATCCACCCCACCTTCAATATCTTAAATGGAAGAGATCAGGAAGGTAAAGAGCAAACAAACAAACCTAAGTAAGTCTAGAATCTCATTATGCACCTCCTGAAGAGCATAAAAAAGGGAAAATGTTATGAAAAAGATGCCCCTGCTAACTTTACACTGAAAACCAAATCACTCTACAAAGCCTAAGCAAAAGCCATCATCTCTGTTAAATGTTGAAAATCTGGTTCAATTTTTTAAGAAAACTAGTTTGCAGACTCTCTCAAAAGTATTGCCCATAGATTTAAACCTTGAGACAGCAGCCTGAAAGTAAAGCAACGTGGGAAACAATGTTCAGAATCATAGAATATTCTTAAAATTTCCACAATTTAAGATCAATTCCAAGAACATTCAAATCTAGAAGCAAGCTTCACCATCTCCAAGCACAAACCAAAATGCTGGAAATGCACCTGTAGGTACTTGCGAAAAGTGAAGGCACTTTAAAAAACAGGGGAGAAACTACTATTAATCCACTTAACTGTTATTTCTTTTAGCATAAACCATGTTCCATTTATATTCTAGAAGCTATCCTTAAAAACCTACTAAAATGTTTGTTCATAGCACTGAGCTTTAAGTCTAAACATTCAGGTTTCTAAACTTATATCTCAGGCCTGTTTAGAGTCTTGTACGCTTTTCAAATAAAGATGTCAACTATTTGCTCTCATACTCAGTGTGTTTGTCTGCTTCCCCTAAACATAGCCAGCAGTTTCTCTTTTCATTTTATTGCTGTTTTGAAAGTAACCATTTTAACTCATCTGCAAATGATTCCCTTTCTTTTCACTAGCCTTGATGTTTATCAATGGGAAGCATATCATTTTTCAATGACTCTGGTGTGCAAGTAAAAGATTTCCCGGTAAATAAGACGTGGCCCAGGGTAGGCAAACCTTAAACCTTTGCTCATGTGAATAGACATGAGGGTCAAGAGGGCACCTCCTTGCATGAATAGCTCCTTTATCATTAAGCTGATGTTTCACAACCAGGATGGAGCAATAAAGAGTAAAAGTAAGGAACTGGAGAAGCGGGAAACGACTGAATCACCTTATATTTGGTTCAGTCTTCCAAACTCCCTCCTACAGCAAAGCAGATAAAGGTGTCATCACTGGATCCCTGCTTTCCTGCGCTTCCTAAAGAGTCCCAGGACTTAGGGCCACTGAAACAAGTGGCAATAACAAGCCTTAGAAATGTATCAACAGACAAAGCTGCTACACTACTTTTAAGATTATATAATGATTATAAATACGGTATAGTGACATTAATACTAAGAATGTTAATTTCTGCATATATTCCAAGGAGTTATGAGACATTTCTCTTCCGAAGTAATTGTACAGAGATGGGAGATTACACAGTTCCTTATGTCCATATACAGTTGTGGTTGAGGGTCGTTGGAGGCTTAAATAAGGTGAATAATGTGGCATCTCAGCCACATTTACATTTGAGCAATTTGAGCTCTACCCAGAACATAGACAGGCACAAACCAGCCTACACACTGCCCAGGGTGAATCACCTTTAAAATCAGGGTCTATGTAGCCTTATTCCAAGAACTGTTTAAGTACTTTCTATACCTCTTACAGTTATGGTAAGTAATATGGTACTGTCGACAATAAAAAGCAAATGGATTCTTCACACAAGAGACTCCTAAAAGCTGCTTTTAAGCAAGTTTACTTTTAGACATTTCTCAATGGAGGGAAAAGGCTTTCTTTTTCGCATATCCTACAACACTCAGCTTGTAAATTTCTGCAAGTGTGTTTAATAGATTTCAGTAAACATTTATTATGGTGTATTTCTTCTGTAATACATTGTGAAACTTTTATTACAGAATATAAACTTTAGACAGTATTTGACCAAACACAGCCCACTTAATAATCAGTTGAACTATTGGTACAGAGATGCTGGTCTGTATGTGAGCTGAGAACCTGTGCTGATAACCTACTTGTCATTTTAAGTGCTCTAGATCAACACTACAGATCTGGCTTTGTAGTCATTCCAAACAGTTTCCATTGCACTTACAGCTAGCATTAAGCTCAAAGGAACACACGAGCTAACCTGGGTGGGGAACAAGGGCAGCAGAGAGACCGGTCTCTGAATAAGTCAGTCCTTGTCACCTTTCAGGCTGCTTCTGGAAACAAAATTGGTATTGTTAGTTCAACTTGAACATTTCTTGGCATCCTTTCATTTTACCAACACCCATTTAAAATTCTACAGTTGGAGATATTTGCTGAAGAACTTTATCTGGTATGTTTTAAATGGGGGTCTTAAATAGAACATCAGAGAAGTAACAGCAAAGCTCAACATGGCTCTCTAAAGTCACATGAGTATCAGTGGGGACCAAAAACAGAGTGAAAGAAAAGGCTTCAAGATGAATTCACCTATTAAAAAAGAAACAACAGCAGAAAAATGAGTTAAACCACACAAAATCCCAAAAACAAGTTTAGGGAGTCCATGGAAGAAGCTAGAGGAAGAGGCTCAGAGGAACAAGACAAAAGTCGGGATGAGGATGGGTGGGGATGTGTTAAAACCCATTTTTCAAATCAATAACGTTCTGGATTTATTACAAGAGAATAAATTTGGAGGCTTAATAAGAGGATGGTCAAGATTTGTGGAAGAGATGCTAGCAATGCTTTAAAAATTCGGCAGAACCCAACAGAAGCAGCATTTAGTGGTTGAGAAAGGACAACTACAAAGACTATATCTGATATAATTTACAACTTACTCAGGACAGAATCCTGATGTCCTTACATAATTCCCCCCATCACAGTTCACTTCAGCTAGGTTAGATTTCACCCTGTCAGATGTGACACACTTCCTTCTTTCCCAACACTTCTTACATAGAAGTTGAATATGAACAGGCACAAAACCACAAGTCTAAAAGAAAGCAGGCAGTAAAATTGCAGTTACTAGTAAGAGTGAAATAAAGGCATTTACATTTGGGCCAGCCTGAGTTTAGGATGACAACAGAATATCTGTGTGGGATCACCAGATGAGCAAGACTGGACATGGAAAGTAGGATATGATTGGAAGAAGTGCAGATGGAAACCTCAAACCAAGTATGAGAGTATCACCAGGGGCTAATACATGGAAGAGGGAGGGCCCTCCACATTTTTCCACTGTCATCTTGTAGGTTAAGGAAAAAAAACCCAAACCCAGAAAAAAACCAACTTTCTGCCACTTCAGGATTCATTATGATACGCATCATGGGAGAAAACAAACATAAAATCCCGTAATGATTCCCTCATACCAACATAATTTTCATCCTAAATCGAGGCAGAATACAGACTCTGCATTGTGTCTGCAGCAAGTTAAGCAAGCCAGGCACATCCCAATCCAAACAAGAGGGTTTTTTTGCCGACATTAAATTAGGTTTGGGATGTAATCTAGAGTAAGATTTCATTAAGACTCCAGAACAGCAAAAACATACTTCAAACACATAGCATGTCTTTCATTTTCCAACATCTCTTTACAGTTTCAAGCCTCCATCCACCTGTTCCACTAAATACCACAAAGACACTTAACAGGGCACTAAGATGGTAAGAATAAGGACGCTGCCACCAGAAAGCTCTGCTATCTGAAGCAGACAGAAGGAAGCCACCAACCGAAGAAAGGGAACTTAAACCACAAACTTTTAGGATAAAGAAACTACACTCTTCTAAGCTTGCACAGTATCGATTACACCAAGAAAACTAATGAGCCACTTTGCCGTTCTTCTGTATTTGAGCATTTTAATGGACTTTTAGTGAATTTGAAAATGAAATAATTTTTAAAAAACCCAAAACATAATGAACAAAAAAATCTACTCGGTATAAACGTTTCTGAAATAAAAGTCCCAAATGGCTCATTCTCACCACTGGAGCCCCACATATCTGGGCAGCCTGTGTTTCATAGCTCACTAATGCTTACCACGACATTTTAACGGATTCCACATCCAAAAGAAGGCACTAAGTTTATATTGCTCACGTATTTTATACACGCTATCGATTAATAATTAGTTTTGAAGAGGCATTCTGCCAGATGAGCGACAGGACGATTATCAACTCCTTATGGCTTGGGAAAAAGTCAGTCTCCTGGAGTAAAAGAGCTCAAGAGTTGCGAGCATCCCTCCGTGCGACCCGTGCACCCTTTCTCCCAGTTACCCCGACTGACCCCCGGGACCCCCAGGCATTTAGTAAGGGAAGAAATAAAAAAAGAGAAAGGGAAGAAAATCAGACCAAACACAAGAGGATCGAGACACTTGGCTTCAGCCTCCCCTTGCTCTTAGCACAACATCCATTGAGGCAGAAGGAACCACCCCGGGTGCTCAAACAAGAGCCGCATTGACGGGCGCGGGCTGAGCGGCGGGCGGGAGCACACTCCGGGCGGCACCGCCGGGCCGGCCAGCGAGCGCTGAAATCAACCCCCAGCTCCTCCAGCACTCGGAGGGAAAGAGAAGGCAACGCGGACCCATTCAAAGGCTCTATCATTAAGTAGTTAGGAACGATTAAGAGGTTTCCCTACGCTCCCGCTCGAGGGACAGTTTTTCGGCACCGGGCTTTGTGAAGGCACAGACACGGTCGGGCTGTGCCGAGTCCCGGCTGGTTGCTCAGCGCGGGGTTTTCCGCTCCAGGGCGCTCGGCAGCACCTGCTGCTGCTGCTGCTGCTGCCGCCGGCACCCCCCGGCCCCAGCCCCGGCCCCCGCGCCGGCGGCGCCCGCTGTACCTGCAGGATCCTGTCCAGCCCCTCTTGGCCCAGGCAAGGGAACTGCTTGAGCAGCTCCGTCTTCTGCCGCTTATAGTTGTCGGTAGCCGAGCGCCAGTGGGGCTCCTCCAGCACCTCGAAGATCGCCGCCCCAATGGACAGGTAGAAGATGATGGCCGAGGTCAGCAAGGGGCCCCTGTCCACCATGGTGCCGCCGTAGGCAGGGAGGGCGGAGCGCGGCGAGGGGGCGAGCCGGGGCGGGTGCCCCGCGCTGCGGCCGTGGGTGCCCAAAGCCGCCCTGTCCTTCCCCTGACACCTCTGCCAGCCCCGGCCGGCCGCCGTGCCTCCTCTCCCGGCTTCTGCCGCGTTCCCTTAGAGTCTTCCACACTCCCCTTCCACACTCCCCTCCCACTCTCTCCTCCTCCCTCCTCCGCACCGCTCCACTCCCCCCGGGCTGTCTCCTTCCCCCAGTTTTCTCCCCTCCCTCCAGAGCAGCGATTTGAATCTGGTGCTCTCCCGCTTCCTCTCTCGCCCCCCCGCCCGCGCATGCGGCGCTGCCGGCGGGGAGAGGCCGGCGGGACCCGGCCCGCGGCCCGGGCAGGGACGGGCGGTCCCCGCGGCTTGGGAGGGCGGCGGTGGGGTCCGGCCATCGCCATCGCCCGCCCCCGAGGGGCCGCCGGGGGGAAGGGGAGCGGGGCCGCGACCCCCGCTCTTCCCGCCCTGCCTGCCGGGAGCCGGCGTGGGGCCGGGAGGGCGGCGCGGCCCCGGCCTCTTCCCCCTGAGCGCGGCTGGTCCCTGCGCCCGCACCGCCCGTGCCTTCCCCTCTTCGTGGTTTCCCCAGAGTCAGGGTAGGAAGGGGTAACGTAGCTCAATTTTATTTTACTTGTTCCCTCATGCCGACAGGTTCAGCGGAATTGCTCGTTTTCGACGCCGGGAGGCTGTGAAATGCAGTCTGTGGCTTTCCTGGATGTGTGGAAGAGTGAAGGGAAGGTGAGCAGGAGCTCTGAGAAGAAAATGAGATGTCGGTCCCAGATTTCACCCCTTCCCTGAGACGTCCACACGTGGGCATTACAGATCATCAGGAGCAGAAACTGCATCTCCATTTCTTTCCTGCCTTTGGTACTTCAATAAATATCGCTATGTTCTCTGTCTGTGTGTTTGGGAGGGAGCGAGAGACATCGGGTGGTGCTTTTCTATGAGATGCTGAAAACATCTTTCAGGCTGAAGCTCGAAGCTCACCCTGTTTTTGAAGCCTTCTCCAGGAGCTGCTTACAGCCACGAACCAGCCTTCGCCCCTCCGTGTTCAGATGGAGCTGGAAATGGGGTTAAACGGGTTAGGGAGAGATACAGTGAAGTGTTACGAACAAAGCAAATTGTTTCTGGTGTGGACACCGTTCATCTTAGAAACATTATTTTTGTGGGGGTAACAAAAACTAGCTCTTCCTCCTCTAGCCCCCACAACAGAAGTAAACACTCAAGAAGTAGAGTAGTTCATATCAACTGCATCAACACGAAGAGATTTGGGATGTATAGGTACTCAGTTGGAGTACACAAACTAAAAGGCTAAGATAAGCCAGTGCAGACAGAGTTGGAATGGAGGAGAACGGGAAAGACAAAGGAGAGAGGTAGAAAATATGCAAGAGTATGAGAAAACAAAAAAGAGAGCTCATAAAAGGCAGAGGGACATGCATTGATTAGAGGGTACACGGAGATGCCTATATAAAACTGGATGATGCCCAATGGATGCTCCTGTGAGATTGCCCCCCAGAAAATCACATGGTCCTTAAACAGTCCTTCCTACTAATGTATAAAAATATATTAAAAAAATATATATCTGCAAGAGGCTCCTAGCAGACTAAAAACAGGACAAAATCCACAACCACATTAAGTGATCAGTGTTTGCATGGGATTTCCCAGTTATTTAAAGGAAACGTTAAAAAAAAATCAAACTTAAAAAGATTAATTTACATATACTAGAGAAAATGGCAAGAAAAAAAGCATCATAAACATTTTTAAAATGTCATAAAGAACCTGTGCTAATCTTTTTTATTAAGGTTAAAATGGGGATGCTTCATGAAGTTGAAAGGCTGTAATTTCCTTTTAATTAAAAGTAAAAGAAGAATTTCATGATGCACAATTACCACATGAAAATTATTCCCAGGTGTTATCACTTGGCCCAAGACCTTTGCAAAACTTGAGAAGCCATTGGCCACATAAATTATAATATGAGCATCTGTCATTGTCTCACTCGCTGATTTAAAAGTAAAGTTCAAAATTGTATGTGAGTACTTATGGCAAGTGACTGAAAGTGTTGAAGAATTTTTAGTAGGCAAATTATGATATAATTTTCCTTTTGGTGCTCTTGCACCTTCTTCTGAGTCACCTGCAAGTGGTTAGGTTATTCTGACAGCAGCAGCAGTAGCCTGACACATTACAGCAATGCTGCACTTGTGTGTTCCTGACCCTGAACATCTGTGCTTGGTAACTGGAAGGTATTTGATTAAATTTTGAAACTGTACTCTTCTCCATCTGTCTTTAAGTCTCTACAGACCCATTTATACATTGAAACAGTATCTTAAAGGCACAAGGAATGACATGAATGACCCTGAACCCACTGCAGTTACAGAGCAGAGACGAGCAAAAACACTTTCAGGCATTTTACAGAAAGTTTGTGATTTTGATTCATTCAATATTTTTACTTTCCACTCTAAACTCCCAATCACTGATTGCATAATTAGTAGTCTCAGTAACTGAGTCAGTCGGTATTTAAAAACAAACAGACCTGTAAATCACATACCATTTTTGCCTGTGTTGAAATGCTATTGCACTTGTTAGACTGTCTCCTTGTGTTTCTCTGGGTTTAAAAGAGGTGAGCGTGGTAAGGAGTGACAGTTTATTCCCCAAGGAACCATAAACCAGCTACTCCTGCAAGGAGAGGGGATCCACTGAGTATCAACAAACTTGAGGCACTTAGATATTTCACTTTGATTCCATTGTCTTCTGCAGAGCAAATTACAAGGTATACTTTTATGCTGCTGGCCAAGTAGTGTGTCAAGAAGGAATGTTTTGTGTAGCTGGCCTCTCTTTGCACCTCCTGATCTAAAATGCTTCTACTGACCTCAGAAAAGATCCCATATCCTTTTATTCATGGCCCTTTTCTCCTCTTTGTTTCCCTTGGATTAAACAGTACCCCTATTGTCAACCCACAGCACCTGCCACATAGGCCCCACAGCTTTTCATGCTAGCTGAGTTAATCAAAAGGCTGGGGTTATTCACTCACAGGCCTTTAAATCTCATTAAAAATCAAGGGAGAAACAGCAGAAAGCACTGTGGTGAGCAATACCACAAGTATCAATCATTTGTATTATTTGCATAGGACATTATTTCAGGCTGTCCAGTCCAAAAGGAAATCTCTTTCATCCAAGCTGTATGTCTAAGACACATTTGCTGTACAGATGTTTCCTAGGACAGCCTGGAATGAATGCATAAATGTCAGAAAATGTTTTAGATGGAGCAAGTAAAAGACATTATTTGGGCAAAAGAAACCTGTCATGTAGTGGCAAAGACTGCATGTTATACTGACTATGAGCTATGGGCCTCTCTTCAAGCCTCTGCCATTTTCACCTAGAAGTCTTTTTTTGACTGGTTGATGACTGTTCTCAATGCCTGTCAACTCTGCATCTTTCATTTGTTTTAACTGTTGAAATTTAGACACCTCCAACTTTGCCTTTAGGTGTTATGTGTCCAGCCATGTGTGGTTTAACTGAGTTGAGGGATGCACTGTCGTGACTATTGTGAGCTGTTTTGTTTCTTTGATGCAGTGCAGTGCACACAGAGAGGGGAAGGATGGTCTGCAGATGATGCAGAATTTTATATGAGGCATTTGTGGAAAGTTCAAAAATTCTCCCTGGGATTGTTCATACCTTTTGGCTTAAGTATTTACAAAAGCACATTTTATACTCTGAATGTACAGTAACACATAGTAAATCATAATAAAAATAATAAAAACCTTTACCAAAACAACCTGCATACCACTGCAACAGACTTCTTCACCCATGGACAGATAATGAGTGAACAAACACCACATGACAGATATTAGTCATGCTGCTTAATGAATAACTGGTGATGAGTACAATACCTGTGTGGAATGGCTGTAATATGTTCAAGGAAAAATACGCATTTGGATCATCTGTTTTTCACTGAGGTGCCTGCAGTGCTCGAGAGAAATGTCTTCATCAGGAAGAAGCCTAAGTATTTCAACAGTTTTTCTTGACTGCCTTGTTCCTCAGCCATCCATAGTAGTCACTGGATGATGAAACATTTTTCCTTCAAAATGTTTTAGAAAGAAATACTCTGGCCTTCTCTTTCTGTTCCACCATGACCTCACTGGTAGTGCCAGAAGCTTTATGGCAGTCCTTCATGCTGACATTCATGTCAGTGATCTAAGCATTTCAGAATACAGCTCTACAAAAAAAGACTGACTTGTACAATGTCAGTCCTAGACTGGCTTTTACCACCATGATACCCGGAGGACATTACTCTTCTAGATAATATGCTCAGGGATAGCTGAGCACCATGGTAACAGAGTCAGTGAATATGCAACAATCTGTTATTTTGTTAGATAAAACATCACTGTCAAGTCTTATTTTTGGGTTATTAAGAAGGAATTAAATTTTATTTGTGTATAGTAATATGGATGAATGTTTGCACATTGTCTTGAGACTTGTTTCCCACACCAGTTTAATTTAACTTTTATCAATCTGATGTCATATAGTGCATGCAATGCATACCTTCCTCAATGTTAGTACCTGACTGTGGCAGTGCTGGATTACAGGGGGGAATTCAAGGAGCTGTTAGCCTCCCCCATCTCCCAGCTGGGTTGCACAGCTGTGTCTGTGTGCCAGGTTGTGCAATGAAGGGCCTTGTATGTGACTGGGCAGCTCCCAAATCCAGACTGGGCTCCCTTCCATGCACGGTGTGTAGCACTCACGTTTTGTTAGTCAACATGCCGGAAGAGCTGTTCCCACCTAACTCTTCCCTTTATAGAAAAAAAATCAGCACATTAATTTTGGCAGTGGGAAAGCAGAGGGAGGGTTGATGGCTTTTCTTTTCCTTCTTGAGTGAATAGAGCCTCGTGGATAATAAATGAAGACAGCTATACACCAAAAAAACATTGAAAACGATCATATTTTTATCATCTGTTCTCCTGTTCCAAGCCCTGCAGCAACAGCTTGTGAGGTTAGATTGGTTCTTATCTAGGGAAAGAAAAGATTGAGTAAATAAGTGAGAGAGTTGGATACATGCAGTTAAAGGGGTATGGATTTGTAATATTTTTGTTTCCTATGGACATGAGTTGCTTTTGTTCTTGATGTCCTGGAATGAAAGAAGGGTCATGGCCTATGCAGTCTCTATGCATGTGCCTCTGCCTTATGTGTTTAAAGAAGTTTTGGAAGAGAAGACAAGAGTTCCTGGCATAGTGAACCACCAGAGCCCCTTAGCCTGTCACATGGTTCTTTGTGATCCCTCCTCTGTCACATATGGTATTGGGAAAGAAGACAGCAAAGGCTGAGCACTAACACCCACAGCTATCCTGCAAGTGAAGGGCTTGCAAAGCTCTTAGTGGCTTTTAACTTATCTTTTGTACTCTCTTAGACCTTCATCAGGAGAGGTGTTAAGAGAGTTTGGAGGAACTTGGATTTCAGTGTTACTGCCTTCCAGTGGTGCCTCCCACATGCCAAAACTCAGTGTAAAAGTAGCAAGCAAATCCAGGTGACTCACAGATATGACTCTTAGGAGGTAATTTGGTACAAAAGTGACTGGGTTAGAGCATCAGAAAAAAGTCCTCCTGATCTGGTGCTTCGGTCAACAGCAGGACTGCTGTCATTGCTCTAAGCATAGAAGCTTTTTGCAAGTCCTAACTTCCAGGTTTCATGGTGAACACCATGCTCTTGGCTCTCAGTGACTTTGTAGGGATGCATGTGTGCATGGTCACAGTCAATTGGAAGATAACCCATGACTGAGGTGGAAAAGCAAATCAGATGCTGGATATTTTCCTCCTGTTGTGTAGCACCTCAGCAGTACTCTGTTCATCATTCTGCCTCACAAGTGGAACACAGTCCAGGGAAAGCAAAGAAGCAGTGAGTGAAAGGAA